GTTGAGGAAATGACAATGGAACTTTGTCCTCATGGATGGACCACACTATTCAATATTTAGAATCACCTTTGGCTAAGGATTACAAGTTAAAATTAAAATCCTTTTAGTTCTACTCAAGGAGTAGGATTTGCTATAGTTCAGCTGATATTGGGTGACACATGTTTTCTCCTAGAGGGCGTCATCCTATATTTTTACAACGTTAAGCCAAAGTTAGCCTATTAGGATGTTCCAGACCAATACACGTTCAAATCCCTGTATACAATTGTACATGCAGTTGGAGTAAATATTTACTTGTATTTCCACTATTGGGCCAAATAATCCTCTATGCCAAATTTTGTCAAAATCAATTCAGTCACTCTGGACGATAAGTCGTTTAAAATAAAAGTTGAAAGACTGACAGCAAACACTACACCACAGGATCACCTAACTTGCTCTTCAGGCCCGTGAGCTAAACCTGATAGCACTTTACCCTATATCAGCAGTATGTATTTGTCTTTCATCAGAAGTTTAACTGGTTCACACTTCTTAGTAAAATTCCTGAGGTACGTTATTTTACCAAGGTTCTGATACTTCATGTTAATACAGGTCACAAAAATTTAAGGCAGAGAATATAACTGCATATCTTTTTAAATATAATGATTTAGACGTTCGCTTTTGATCCAAATGACTTTTTAACAGTATGTACATAAAATTGATCAATGTTACATGAAGTGATAAGGGCCTGTATTGCTCACCTGGATATTAAAGCAATCATGCCAAAACGTTTTCAATAAATATAACATTGCAAATATTTCCAAATTTTGGCTCTGTCTCTCAGCACTGAGCAGCAAGTCTCCAGAGGCAAGGACAGACCCTTGCACTAATAATTGTAGCATGATTGTATTTGTCTCATTACGCTGTTATACATATAGGGTTATAGGTTGATGTTATGACCAATGGAATTAGTCCTCAGATGCAGACCCAGATTCCATGGCCAATTCACGTTGTAATTGCATACATCGTTTAAAGGTAGAGAGTCACCAGGGACAGGGCTGGACCCAAAACCAATCCTTACGACCAGGAATTGTATATGTTTACAGTGCGGGAATCACATCCTTTTCCATGTTATGGTCCATAGACTAAGCCCCCCGAAGTCAGGGTTTATACGAATATAGGGTTGGCATGTCGACTGTTTAAAGTTATGACCCAAATTCAAACAATGGGTTCCTTTAATCTCGTCCAAGGGAGTCGCCATCTTTATTTACCATGCAAATAATTGCCTTGCCTTAGTGATTATCAAAATAAATATAGTTACAATGCATACAGCTGTTTAAATATAGTTACAATGCATACAGCTGCTTAAATATAGTTACAATGCATACAGCTGTTTAAAAAGAGTTTACTCACATGCCTTTGTGTAGGGAATAACTATATTTAAGAAATCATTCACACCAAATTCGGTAAAAATCCAACAAGGAGTCGGGAGAAGACGGTTTTTAAAACAATAACTCTCACGTTTCCCCGATTGGGCTCAGCACATCTATCCCCTTGGGGACACTAGCTTTATTTATTTTAACCAGCACAGACGTTTAGCAGACTTTTTGAGCAAGCTGAAGAGCGACAGACGCTGCGCCATGCAAAAAGCTCCACTTGGTCCTTGGTCAAGTGAGCCAACAGGGAACCATATTTGAAATATCATACGAAAAATTACAATCAATCTACATTCCTAATGACAAAACTTACTAGATGGACCAAATCTAAAAATAAAACATGAAATCAAGAAGATTGTCCGAGATTCAGTAAAATATTCTAGATTTAACCGTATATATATATATATGCCTATTATAGCAAATTATGTTTAAATATCAACATTCATCATGCTTTATTCTTTGAGAAATATTAAGAAATTAAGAAAGTAGTTTCATGAAGTAAAAAAGTGACGCTAAATCTATAAGTATAATCTTTGTATTTCAAATTTTAAAATTCTTCGATAAGCATATTCAAAGAAGAAAGTATTATGACTTTCACGAAACGCCAACTGACTTTCAAACTAAAGTATCTGTGTCTCAAACCTAACAACTGTATGTGTATACAGGAATCTAAAAACTGTGATGACCTTATAATCCAATACTGTTTGCGGCCTTAACTTACAGAGCATGTGACCTCCATACACAATTTTAGTGACCCTGGACACACCATTTAATCAGTTAAGAAGAAAATAATCGTTCAATTAACATAACAGATTTTAATTATTGTCTCATGATGCTAAAACCAATTACAATAAAGGTTATAACAGCCCTTTATGTGAATGTTAGCACAAGTGCCAGAAGAAATGATGGCTTGTAGGATTCCTATATTGAACATATGGCCAGAATGCATGTATCGCACACCTGGGCACTTTCCAAGCAAGGCAAAATATTTGCATAAATAGTATTACCATTTTCCCCAACATGTGGTCAACCTCTAAGGGAAACATCATAATTATATCAATTAATTTCTTCATCCCAAGGAAATTTCAAAGCAAGTTTGGTGTAAATAAAGACAACTAGTCAAAGAGAATATGATAGTGGGGATTACCCAGGATCAAAGTCACCAGAGGTCGGGCCTGTCCAAGGAGTATGATAGGTTGTCTCCTCATGGCTATATATATAATTATAAGGCATAAATGGGTGAGTCTTAACTGATTCAAAGAAATCATCAAATGACTTGATAATCCCAAGGATCCAGACTGACCCAGGTACCAATCCTGGCAGTACGATTGTGTTCATGGCGAGGATCCAGACTGACCCAGGTAGCAATCCTGGCAGTACGCTTGTGTTTATGCCGAGGATCCAGACTGACCCAGGTACAAATCCTGGCAGCACGATTGTGTTCATGCCAAGGATCCAGACTGACCCAGGTGCAAATCCTGGCAGCATGATTGTGTTTATGCCGAAGATCCAGACTGACCCAGGTACCAATCCTGGCAGAACGATTGTGTTTATGCCGAGGATTCAGACTGACCCAGGTACATGCCGAGCAGTTATATTTAAAGTTTTAGAGAGGGAATCTCAAACATTCTAAGCAATGACTAAGTGGCAAGTCCTGAAGGGGCATGTGCGAACCCTGAGGCAATTTCTTGTTAGTGTTGACGTTTTTTGTTTGTTTTGACTTTAAAACAACATTCTCGTTATGAGCTAGGGACTAAGTCACCAGGGGCGAGGCTAGACTGAGGGACCGATCTTATTTGCATGATTGGGTCTCCGCATATTAGTATATAATGAATATGAAGTGTAGATCTCATCGAGTTGTTATAATCCAGACACTAACTCCTAAGGCACAGGGCAAGATCTCGAGGCTGATATCTAAGTAGCATGTTTGAATTCATCCCTTTATGCAATCAGCTGTTTCCAAGACGCAATTCAAAGACTAAGTCCCCATGATGAGGCTGCAACCCAAAGCAAAACCTGATAACACGGATGAATTGATCACTTTGTCTAATGAGTATGTATGTAGTTATAAGAGGGGTCCAGGATCAGAATCGTTACTAAGTAGATTAAAGACTTACATTGTTTTCGTCTATGGGGCCCTTTCTCAATGGGGCTTACCATCCATTAATACAACGTCTACTTCTTATGGCCAAAGGATGCTCTAAATAAAATATATTTAAAAGCTTTTCTTCCGTACATGAAGATTTTGGAGATAAACGTTTGTTTCCCTTATTTGGTCCTCTTTAAAAAGGTCCTCTGTTTATACAACAATGATTTGTCTTGGCCCTGGGCTGCTTCAGAGTAAATCTTTAATTTTTAAAGAATTGGAGAATTTTAAAGGTTTACCTATTTTTCCCTAATCGGGCCCCTCATATTTGTAACTTGTTTGCACATTTCATTTTAAATGGCCCATAACTTTTCTTCTAGAGGGTCTCACCCTTTGTTTAACAAAAGTATAGGCCCTTTGGCCCAATAATCAATCATAGGCCAAATTTAGTCAACATCAACTCAGCCATTCTGAACTAGTAGCGTTTTATAGGAAAAACGGACAGAAGACGGATGCAATGCCACGTCCTATACACACGTGAACCTTCAGGCTACATTAAAGGATAGGGTGACAACCCTTAATGTAAGCAAGATCCTCGATGTCTTTTGGATACTTTCCATTTGTGCAATAAGACGAATTCATCATCAGGGGTCGATACAACCCACTTCTTAATGCAATATTTATTTTACAGCATAGGGGTCATTTTTCATTAAGGGTTATCACAGTGCACCCCTTAGTGTATAAAAATATGCAGTGAGGGAGTGTCTACATACTTAAAAAACCCTGATAATTCTACTTTATTTCCCTTAACCCTTTCACAACTGTAGACCATAATGGACTCATCAATATCAATGCCTGGTAGAGTCTACTGAAGTTACATAGGGGTGAAAGGGTTAATGTAAAACATAATTTACAATTAAGGCATATATGTACATTACTGTTCATATAAAAAGTACATGCTAAGGTTATGCAAATTGCATCCAGAAGTTTTTCTATACATTTAAGGATTGTTTTACAATCATAATTATCCCAAAGACAAACCTAATAAGATGCACTACCACAGCAGGAGTCGGTCATAAAAATGATGCAATCAAGGTCGACCGTATACTTATATAGACTCTACTACACTCCAGCTACTGGATAACATTGGTATAAATATATATATAACCTGTACAAAATATACAATGCAAGGGTTCTCCAGGTGTTTCAGATTTCCCAGTACTACATGTACAGGTATGTTAAAGGGGTCAATACATTAAACATCTGTGAAAAGGTTCAGGTTACCTGCGTAAAGGTATATTTGACCAGACTCAGATTTAAGAGGTCCATCATAATGAACTGAAACTTAACATGAAGTCTGTGATTTGTGCTGTGTGTTTTTTTTTAAAAATAATTTTGGATATGGTTATAAGTAGAGATTAACGTAACAGTGCATGGTTTTACAACACCTCCTGAAAAAGATTATTTTTAGGTAAACAAAGGCATAACATCAGATTTGTGTTTGTTGTGTTCTGTTATGTACTGGCCCCAAAAAGGAATGTTACGTTATTTAAAATATTGCATGTTCATAACACATCTGAAATAAAACAGATGTTATTGCTTTGTAAGATTGGCTCCAGGTATTGGCTTCAGATTAGTCAAGTAAACGTTGACAAAATTCAGTGAAACTAAGCAATTAGCTTGATTTACCTGTAGAAGATTTGTAAGTGCAATGTGTATACAAAGGGTGGAAAGGACTCTTTTTTTTTTTATCAGGGTTACCGTATTAGTCAGTACAAGGAAAATCATTGTTGTTTGGATGTCCGGGCCAAATCACACGTGCTGCACGTGAAGTAGGTGATGATCATTTTGGCGGTGGTAGTGTCATGATTTTGGGTTGGATATCTGGGAATGGACACACACACACCCTGTGATCGTCGACGGTAGCCTGAACTCTCGACGTTACAGGGAGCAGATCTTGGTACCACATGTTGTTCAATTCATGGTGGCAAATGGCGGCATGTTTCAGCAAAGTTAAACGCACAGGCTAATGTCGCACCAACCAACATATGGCCTTTCTTTGTGAACAGATCATCAGTGTGCTCGATTGGCCATCGCTTTCCCTAAATCTCAATCCCACCGCCCACATCTTGTTTCATGGAGACATTTAAATGAAGCAGAGTCAATTTAATGATATCACACATATTTATATGGATTCTGACCATGCAGATTTACAGCAGTTTCAAAACAGCAATGAAATCCTATCAATACAATAATGTATTATTTCTTTTGGGGGCCAGTATATATTGTAGTGGTACTATCAGTTTTTTGTTTTTGTTTTATTAAATATTGTTGCGCTAACAACAGTCTATTTTTGTCATCATCACTTCAATACCTGATGTGTCTGTTCATATTTGAAAACTGGCTTCAGAAAAGTCTTTGTAAACAAATTCTAAACAGTTGTTTGGAAAAAATTCCAAGTAAAAAAACCCATACGTAATTACTTCAGCTTCTTTCAATTGGGGTCTACATGAAAATTCTTCGTTTTTCCCCCACTCTAATCCGAAACAGACTTCATTTTTCAGATTTCAAGTTTTCATTTTTAAATCTGAGCTATGCCATGATTTGAACAAGGTATACCTAAGCATGCGTCTACTTATCTTCACAAAATATATATGAACCCTTTCACCCCTATGTAATTTTAGTAGACTCTACCATGCATTGGTATGGATGAGTCCATTATAGTCTACAGTGGTGAAAGGGTTAATCAAAATACATGTAATGAAGATATAATTTATGGAGAATTTAAAACCCTTCAAATGGCCACCACGACCAAGGCAAACGTAATTTGATGGACTACATCTTGTACATATAATATACTATAGAAGATGTGTTATCTCTGATTTGATAATAAGAAACAAAACATGATTGTCATACAACTATAAATAACATATATGTGATAGAAAAAGAAATGATTTCTATTTATGATTTTGCCATACAGTAATTCTATTTTCTTCTGATTTTCTGGTATTTGCAAAATTTATGAAATCTAAAGAAAACTGGTTTGTGTTGGTTCACATATTAACATGTCATAAAGTGGGTTATGCTAACAAATGTTCAGGAAAATACTACAATTTACAGATTTCAAAAGTATATTTACAAAGTTAAATCCTGTAATCTTTGTATTATGTGTCACAATGGTTACCCACTAAATCCTACAGATAAACACTGCACACGTATCCACACACTCAATTGGATGGAATTGCTGTAGCACAAAATGCAACCCTGTTGAACTCTCTCTGTAGTAATATTACCACATACCACATGAACGCACACCCTGGTCACATGACTACACCATAAACATACTTTATAGTCACATGATCACACACACCATCATCAGATCACATTATACACCATGGTCACATGAACACAAACCATCATCAGATCACATCATACACCATGGTCACATGATCACACACACCATCATCAGATCACATCATACACCATGGTCACATGAACACACACACCATCATCAGATCACATCATACACCATGGCCACATGAACACACTCCATCATCAGATCACATGAACGTACACCATGTTCACATGAAAAATCACCAGGGTAACATAAACACACACCATGCATGGTAACATTAACACACCATGGTAACTTAAGCACACACCATGTTAACATAAACACTCACCATGATAAAAAACACACACCATGGTAACATAAACACTCACCATGGTAACATGAGCTAACACTATATGTACATACGGGTACCATCACATGAACATATGCTGTTGCTCTATGAACACACACCATTAATTATTTTGATGGAAATGTAATCTTTAAACAAAATAACAAAAAAAAAAAATCATAATTCAACCAAGTGATAATACAATTAAAGTTGTTTTATATGTACAAATGAACCCCCATAGATTGGGATATTTTGGTGTTATCTACGCTAACTATTATCAAACTGTATGATAACCTGTGGGGGACTATACTAGGAGGAACAATACATCAGACATATCTTCAACCTAAAACAGGAAAATTCAAATGATAAAGTTTTTAACTGTTCTTCCACGCCATAGCTTACATGTTATTGACATTCATGAACCAGGTTTTAGAAATAAAAACATGAGGGTGCATGTAAGGGCCTTCAGCAGTTGTAAATATTCCCGGTAATTTGTAGTTATTGACCAGGTTTCTAGCAAATTTTATATTCAAGTGCCTACACGAAAAACAAACAAACTGGTCGTTCAGAATGCAATATGATATCATACGCTAGTTGTAATGAATATGTTTCGGAGTCCCCAAAACCAAAGCCCCACAATATGATGTTTTCTTGTGTAACAGGCAACCTGTGTTTGAGGTATGAATTAACGACACCACGGCCTGATGAGAACCCATCAGTACAGCAGTGTAACCTTTGACCCTACAGGCATCCCAAATTAGACACATTCATTTAGTAATTACCCCAAAGAATACAAAACTTTGAATGCTTTTAAAGATAGTTGCCACAAAGTTTCATGCAAATCCAATGATAGTATGGAAACAAAAATGTATGAAGGACCTATGGATGATGACCAATGGTAACAGGCCCCATTAAGGCAGGCACATAAAAAGTAGGTCACGGTGACATCATTGTACAATGTACTCACCCTCCATTAAGACTTGCTTTACATTAAGTACATCTGCTGATCAAGTTTTACTGAAATCCAATCATATTAGGTAAGTTTCCCTGCAAATACTTGAACCAATTGTATTTTAGTAATTTTGCAAACCGGACATGCACACAGCCTGTTTGGAATGTCATCATATTTAGGGAAGTTATCCTGCAGAATATTTAGGAAAGTTATACTGCAGAATAAGCAATCAGGTTGTTGTTTACTTACTAGATATACTTAAATTCTGCTCATCACCAAATGTAGTCTGTCTTTACCTTATATCTGCTGACCAAGTTTTATTGAAATCTGATCATATTTAGAAAAGTTAAAAAACATTTTCAAATGGCTCAAAGTCAATCATGAAGTCTTTGCGCCTATTTGTAGAAACCTTTGGATAACATCCCTAATAATTAAGGTATTTATTTAATGAGACTACATATTGTAATTAATACAATATCATCTTAAACTTAAGCTTTCAAAAAATCTAACATAAGAAATATACTTTGTTCTATTAATTACTACAACATCAAATTATCCCAGTTTATGGCAGGAGTGTTACCAGATACACAGTTCTAGTACACCATCATACCGACATGGTCCTAATAAGTTATCATGACACCTTTTCTATTTACATAAAGTAATTGTTATCATGTCACATCAAGGCACCTACATCCACTGTGTACATGCATACACAAGCTAACTGGTTAATTTCTCAGTAAGAACCTCCCCCCCCCCTAGATTTTATACTGGGGTCTATTTAATACCATGTTTATAGTATCAGTGGTAGATGAGAGGAAGGCTGGGAAATTCTTGTACAATTTCAGTGGCAAATGAATGAAAATATTTAGTCACAGGTGAATTTTAGTATTTTTGGGGACATCCTTTTATGAACAAGATACCTAGAAGCCTGTCACTCACCTGGATATTTAATCATTTACATTTTAAATAATTTCAATTCTGACTCTTGACATTAAAGAGGACATCGTCCTTTCTTTGATTTCTTTGTCTTAAGGATGACTAGCTGGGGCGTTGCCAGACCCATGAGCCAATCTTGATAGCATGAGTGTATTCATCTGTTTACGCCTAGACAAGCTGCAGGTTTCTCTTTGAGAGTGACTGCGAGGCCAAATCTGGTTGCATGAATGCATTCCTCTTTTGCGGACAATCAGCTTTATATTTACAAAATATGATCATCTTTCCCTGTCAATATTTCAAACCAAATGTGGTGATAACCCATGTAATCAGGGCAGGCCCCAACAGAAATTAGAAGTGAAGTTTTCAAAGTCACTTTCCTACTGCACCAAGAGTATTACTTCCTGTGGCCAGAGGGATGGGGGTAAAATCTTAATATGCTTTAGTTTTGCTTTGAAATCCTACCCCAGCAGTGGAAGTTGACCAGTTTGCCCTTAAATATATTAGAAAAAGATTTGTACTGCTGATCTACATGTATCCAAGAAGCATGGTTTTAGACCCGAGAGTGCTTTAAAAATGTTGCGCGAAATGTTTAACATATTTGACCTGTGACCTTGAAAGTAAGTAGATCAAGGAAATATGATGACACTTTATAGCACTCAAGGTTACTGCACTTTAGAGGGGCTCCACCCTTTATTTATACAGCATCTAGTCCTCATGATCTAAAAAGAATGTTCCAATTTGGTCTAAATCTTTCATCCATATAAAAAGAGAAAGATTTAAATAATAATAAAAAAAAGATTTCCCACCGCCAGCACCAGATGTGAAACACCCTTCATTTTATATAACATCAAGTCTCCTTTTAAAGGAAAGAAAAGTTGACAGGTGTACAAAGGACACTGTGCCAAGGCTGCATGCTTCTTTTGTCCAGGTGAGCTAGCTTACTGTGGGAAAAGGATGCCTGTCGGATATCTGCTTGAAAGGTTGTTTTATTTCATCAGGAGTATGGCCCCTTCCTTTCAAATATCTACCAGTTGAACCATTTTGCTTTCTTATGTATAAACCCCTACTGACCCCTTTTAGAAAAGCTAAACTTCAATTGAACCATTTCTACCAAATTCAATTAAGTAACACCAACATTTTACACTTTTTTTTGATTTCAAACAAACATTCATTATGCAGATTTGTTCCATAAATACCAAAAAGAAAATGCATTTATTAGAATGAAAAAAACATATTATTTTATGTACAAGCAGTTTCAACAAGTAAAATCCTTATTCTAACATTATTTTGAACATTCAAGACACTAGTTATGTCCCTTGATAAAAACTTCTTCATGATTATAATGAAAAATCTACAAAATGTAAAATCATTTTAAACAATTAGAACTGTGTAAACCATATCAGGCAGAAAAAGACTTGAGCAAATGTGCTCACAACCTTATTTTTTCACTTCTTTTCTTAAATATTACAAGTTATTTATAAACATTAATACATTTTTGCACAAACAATTGAGATATTCAATATAAGGTGTAGGAATTGATCAAGTGAAATAAAATTAACATCTGTTTGAGTCAAATTATTAGAGGAATGTACAATTAGCTAATAATGACTGAACCTCGTTAGGCCGGACACATTGCTTTCCAATAGTATATTTGAAATCAATATATAATATTCCATATAAAAGAATGGTAAGTAAATGAAAATTCTGTGACTAAGGTCACTTCCTAAATACTATAAATCCATCTAGTTTTCTTGACGATCTCTTAGCTCATTTACCCCTGAAATCTTTTAATGAACTATTCCAACCTTTGAGTTGGAAGAGTTTGATTGGGTCTTCAGGGGGTGAATGAGTTAAACGTGAGAATTTCATCAATTGAATCACGTAACGACAGGAGATCATAGTAAGCCATTATTTTGCGAATTTCCTGTTGTATTAAATATAAGTGATATGCTAGCTCCTGGCAAATAAATCTAAGGAATTACAAAACTCCAGAATAACGAGGTCCTACGTAATCTCTATAGATGGCATTGTTGATGAATGACAATAGTGAAATGGACATGATGATTGACACCAGTATCAGGAGGAGCCAGCGCTGTATTTTGTGTGGACTATCCACGTCCACAATAGACACAAAACTGTCAGTAACGTGGACACTTGTATCCGACACTGTCCACATCGTGTATCGTCCTCCTGAAATTGAAGCAACAACTTTAACTAAAAGGGACCTTGATTTCACTGGTCTTTGTTAAAAACATTGTATCCCAGTACCATTTAGGTTTATTAAGTAGAAAATAATATGATCATTTTGCAAAGTTATATATTATTTTTGCTATATACATTCACAACAAATCCTCATATCAAACATAAACAAGAGGCCCAATGGGCCTGCATCATTCACCTGCTATTAATCTCACACTTTTAGGCTTAAAAATGGACCAAGTTAAAACATACCGAATAGCCTAAAAAAAAATAGGACTTGATCAAGGTCCTGTAGATTTGGAAACTGACTGCTTATTTTGTTTTCACTCAAACAAAATATCAAGTTAAAAGTCTGACAATTAATTTTTGCAGTCCCTTTATGTAAAGTAATATCACGTAGCATACCTCATCTTTTTACTACAAACAAAAGGCTCAAGGAGTTGTAAAACATTCACATTTGAGATTTATGACCTAATCAAATGGCATAAAGAGGAACCGACACTGTAAGGGGTGCTACTACCGACAGTACTTCACAATAATGTGTACATCATTCTGATGATTCTGTTCAAAACAGACTTTCAGGATGTCTGCCGTGGTGGTCATATTGGATTGCAAATTGGCTCTTGATTATTTCTATTTATTGGTTTTGCCAAAATCGCTCCAGGATCATTCAAATGCTTGCCAAGGCAGCCGTGTTGGATTTTAAATCAGCACAAAATGATAACTTCACAACTCTTTGCTGATATCCCATTAAGTTTCAGGCAGAATTTCAAATGAATTTGCAGAATATAGCTGTCATGTCATGATTATCAAATTTGCAATCAAACTGGCTCCAAAATAACAGGAATAGGTCAGGACAATGTGCTGATCATTCCAATTACATTTCAGTAAAATTAATTCAGTAGATTTGAATTTAATTTTAAAACAGATTTTCAAAATGGTTGCCAATTGTGGCCATATTGGATTTCAAATCGGATCCAAAATCACAACAAATATGATCAAAAGTGTGGGCGGATCATTCCAACTTCTTTTCTACAAAATCTTTTAAGCGAGTTTAATTTTATTTAAACACTAGTAAATTCTCAAAATGGCTGTCATGTTGGCATTATTTGAATTCAAATCAGCTAAAACAATTGGTTACGACAATGCATAAGTCATTTTCAATAAATTTCAGTTTTTTTTTTTTTAAATATTCATATCAACTTACCGTGTCATCATCTGCATCTATACATCTATGCCTTTTTTTGTTGAAAGTTTGTCTTCCGTGATCCGACTGGTTTTCCAGACGACTGCAAAACTCAGTATCTGATGGTAAACTTTTCATTAAGGTAAAATAATAATTTCACTCTAAAATGCAATTCGTCTCTAATAAAAAGGTAAAAGTATTACCATTTTTTTAATTTTCAAATAGTTATTGTCTATGGTTCATCATCTGTCAGTCAGACGTTCAGTCAGTCCATCTGAAAAACAAATCAATTACCACTGGAAGGACCTTGATTGATTGGAAAAACAAAATGGCTGCCTGGAGACAGCCAGCTTGGATTTTATGTCAAACTTGTTAACTACATTCCATAAGAAGCTGTGGAAGGCATCATGCCAAACTTTGGTAGGAACAACTCTTGGTCCAAAGAGGTGCAGACTCCGAAATGAGATTGACAAGAAAAACCAGAAAAAACAAAAGTCCCAGTGGGCCTGAATTGCTCAGCTGGGTTAGGATGGACACTGTTGAACAAATGTGAGAAATATCAGCTCATATAAACCATAAGCAATAAAGTGTCAATGTTTTAGTGAGCAACATTGCACACAAATGTTTGGGGTCTCATTGCACAGCTCAGTACTAGGGATATTAGGAGTACCCGAATATAGGTCAGCTTCAATAAGAAACCAGTTGGAAATCGTGTACTCAGGGCCATGTGCCATATATTTGTAGCAAGTCTGATCAAATCTGAGCAAAATGATGGGAGAAGAAGTCTTTAAAGGAAAAGTTGGCAGACTGATGGACGACAGATGGAAGGGAAATACATGTTGGTTGTAATGGATCTTATACTGGATCTGCAAGGTTTCAACAATATAACTAGCAAATAGAGTTTCAAGGAGTTTCTAGATTTTATCTCGTATTTTAATTACAAAATTTATAGGGTTTCAACAATTGCATTTTCAGTAGTAGGTCTATCTTACATTAACAAGGGAGAAACTGTCAGATTGCATAGACAGCAGAATAAACAAAAAACATTCATCTTCAACTGTTCATCGTATTTCAGTAGACATTTAACTGCCACATTTAGACAATAAAAGGCAAATATTTGTGTGACTGTGTTTTAAAATGCCCTGGGAGAGGTTTCAAATGAGCAAAAATATTAAAAAAAAACACGTTAATTTTCAAGCAATTTTTAGTCCTATTTGAAAATATGTACAGAAAAGTTGGCCTGGATGACACAGAGATTGGAGTTATGGAGACCCTCATCAGCACTTAACTTTAAGTGACTGTGTGATTTTATATCATGACCCATGATGGTATTTACATAAAGGATATGAATGACTGGCACCTCCCCGAATATTGGTTGTACGAAGTCCGGCCTGCCTGTGCAGTCACAGCCCGCGGTGGAGATGACAAAGATCAGGTTAGTGTCTCGAATCCACTGGACTACATATGTCCTGTAACAGAGTAACACAAACATGTGTGTAAAATCTACAACAAACCCAATTCATCGGGCTGTATCGCTCACCTGGTATTAATCTCATACCAGCAACCCTACAGGTTAACAAGTCGAATACACATAAATATGGGCTAAATTAATTTTAAGCTACATACATCACGACTCTGGGTCTTTTGGTTGAATGTGTTCCAAAGTTTTTTTAACATTTGACCCTGTGACCTTAAAAGTTGGTCAAGGTCATTCAACTGATCGAACTTTATGCACATCATCCAACCTTTCTGCTGGCCGAATATCATTATCCTGAGACTTGGTTATTGAGAACAGGTTGCTGAAAGTTTTCAACACATTTGACCGTGTCTTGTGACTTTTAAAGTATGTCAAAGTCATTCATTTGAAAACAAGAATTCCACAGGAGTGGATGTGTCGCCTGCTCAGTGCTATTAGTGAGAAAAGTGTTTTGGCTCCAGTTATTGTGTTAACAAGCAAAAATTAACGGCAAAATCAATGAACAGCATTGCTATGTCAAGTGTTAAAAAACCCAAGTTCTTTTACTACTTGAATGCACAACTTTTACTACACAATGCCCTTATTTGGCAATAAAAGGGGCATAACTCCAACAAAAATGTCCAAACTCTCTATAAAGGACAATTCACAAAGACAAACTCTCTATAAAGGATGGCTCACAAAGACAAACTTTCTATAAAGGACAGCTCACAGAGACAAACTCTCTATAAAGGACAGCTCACATAGACAAACTCTCTATTAAGGACAATTCACAAAGACAAACTTTCTATAAAGGACAATTCACAAAGACAAACTCTCTATAAAGGACAGCTTACAAAGACAAACTCTCTATAAAAGACAGCTCACAAAGACAAACTCTCTATAAAGGACAGCTCACAAAGACAAACTCTCTATAAAGGACAGCTCACATAGACAAACTCTCTATAAAGGACAGCTCACAAAGACAAACTCTCTATAAAGGACAGCTCACATAGACAAACTCTCTATAAAGGACAGCTAACAAAGAAAAACAATCTATAAAGGACAATTCACAAAGACAAACTCTCTATAAAGGACAGCTCACAAAGACAAACTTTCTATAAAGGACAATTCACAAAGACAAACTCTCTATAACGGATGGCTCACATAGAAAAACTTTCTATAAAGGACAATTCACAAAGAAAAACTTGCTATAAAGGACAATTCATATAGACAAACTCTCTATAAAGGACAGCTCACAAAGACAAACTCTCTATTAAGGACAATTCACAAAGAAAAACTTTCTATAAAGGACAATTCATATAGACAAACTCTCTATAAAGGACAGCTCACATAGACAAACTCTCTATAACGGATGGCTCACATAGACAAACTCTCTATAACGGATGGCTCACATAGACAAACTTTCTATAAAGGACAGCTCACAAAGATAACTTTCTATAAAGGACAGCTCACAGAGACAAACTCTCTATAAAGGACAGCTTACAAAGACAAACTCTCTATTAAGGACAGCTCACATAGACAAACTATCTATAAAGGATGGCTCACATAGACAAACTCTCTATAAAGGACAGCTTACAGAGACAAACTCTCTATAAAGGACAGCTTACAAAGACAAACTCTCTATAAAGGACAATTCACAAAGACAAACTCTCTATAAAGGACAGCTCACAAAGACAAACTCTCTATAAAGGACAGCTAACAAAGACAAACTTTCTATAAAGGACAATTCACAAAGACAAACTCTCTATGAAGGACAATTCACAAAGACAAACTTTCTATAAAGGACAATTCACATAGGCAAACTCTCTATAAAGGACAGCTTACAAAGAAAAACTCTCTATAAAGGACAGCTCACAAAGACAAACTCTCTATAAAGGACAGCTCACAAAGACAAACTATCTATAAACGACAGCTTACAAAGACAAACTCTCTATAAAGGACAGCTCACAAAGACAAACTCTCTATAAAGGACAGCTCACATAGACAAACTATCTATAAAGGACAGCTTACAAAGACAAACTCTCCAATTACATCCTAACTCATGATATTGACATTTATTAAATTTTCTTTTCTAATATTAGACTAATTTTATTTATAAGTTTTCTTTCACTTAACAGGAAGCCATTTATAATTTCTAAACCATAGAGAGACAAGGTTTTCTTACATGTTGCATTGATCACAGCCATAAATAGTGCCCTTGATGCGTGGGTTTCGTAACTGTTGGAAATTAGCCTTGTATAAGGTCATGTATTTATGACAAGGGTTGATAACCACACTAGGCTGACAATGGGCCATCTTCTTATAATGGTAGTACCAGATCTCTAGGTGCTCCGGATTCATCTCCGAAAGATCATACTCCATTGTTGGGCAATCTGTAGGAGTTGGTGAAGCTGGAAGAAAAATATATTCAGTTACCTCTAACAAATGATCTAACTTCAAATATAATTTAAAGCTATTGTATGACAATTGTGAACTACTGTATGATACTTTTGAGTTCATTGTTTGACAATTGTGAACTATGGTATGATACTTGTGAACTATTGTATAAGGTTTGTGAACTACCATTTGACACTTGTGAACTATTGTATGAGGCTTGTGAACTACCGTTTGACACGTGTGAACTATTGTATGAGGCTTGTGAACTACCATTTGACATTTGTGAAGTATAGTATGAGGCTTGTGAACTACCGTTTGACACGTGTGAACTATTGTATGAGGCTTGTGAACTACTGTTTGACACTCGTGAACTATTGTATGAGGCTTGTGAATACCGTTTGACACTTGAGAACTATTGTATGAGGCTTGTGAACTAACGTTTGACACTTGAGAACTATTGTATGAGGCTTGTGAACTACCGTTTGACACGTGTGAACTATTGTATGAGGCTTGTGAACTAACGTTTGACACTTGAGAACTATTGTATGAGGCTTGTGAACTAACGTTTGACACTTGAGAACTATTGTATGAGGCTTGTGAACTAACGTTTGACACTTGAGAACTATTGTATGAGGCTTGTGAACTACTGTTTGACACTCGTGAACTATTGTATGAGGCTTGTGAATACCGTTTGACACTTGAGAACTATTGTATGAGGCTTGTGAACTACTGTTTGACACTCGTGAACTATTGTATGAGGCTTGTGAATACCGTTTGACACTTGAGAACTATTGTATGAGGCTTGTGAACTACTATTTTACACTTGTGAACTATTGTATGAGGCTTGTGAACTACTGTTTGACACTCGTGAACTATTGTATGAGGCTTGTGAATACCGTTTGACACTTGAGAACTATTGTATGAGGCTTGTGAACTACTGTTTGACACTCGTGAACTATTGTATGAGGCTTGTGAACTACTGTTTGACACTCGTGAACTATTGTATGAGGCTTGTGAACTAACGTTTGACACTTGAGAACTATTGTATGAGGCTTGTGAACTACTGTTTGACACTCGTGAACTATTGTATGAGGCTTGTGAACTAACGTTTGACACTTGAGAACTATTGTATGAGGCTTGTGAACTACTGTTTGACACTCGTGAACTATTGTATGAGGCTTGTGAACTACTGTTTGACACTCGTGAACTATTGTATGAGGCTTGTGAACTAACGTTTGACACTTGAGAACTATTGTATGAGGCTTGTGAACTACCGTTTGACACGTGTGAACTATTGTATGAGGCTTGTGAACTAACGTTTGACACTTGAGAACTATTGTATGAGGCTTGTGAACTACTGTTTGACACTCGTGAACTATTGTATGAGGCTTGTGAACTACCATTTGACATTTGTGAAGTATAGTATGAGGCTTGTGAACTACCGTTTGACACGTGTGAACTATTGTATGAGGCTTGTGAACTACCGTTTGACACGTGTGAACTATTGTATGAGGCTTGTGAACTACTGTTTGACACTCGTGAACTATTGTATGAGGCTTGTGAATACCGTTTGACACTTGAGAACTATTGTATGAGGCTTGTGAACTAACGTTTGACACTTGAGAACTATTGTATGAGGCTTGTGAACTACTGTTTGACACTCGTGAACTATTGTATGAGGCTTGTGAACTACCCTTTGACATTTGTGAACTATAGTATGAGGCTTGTGAACTACCGTTTAATTTGATATTGTGTGCTACTGTATGATACTTTTGAACTACTGTTAATGTTGTGTCTTACTCTCGTGAGATTTCGCCAAAGGAGAATGTCTACTTCGTATTTCGTATTGAAACTTTCTCTAAATAAAACAATAATAACTAGAACTGTAAACCAAAGGCTAACTAATATCCCCGCTGCTATATAAATCAGAACTGTAAGCCAAAGGCTAACTAATACCCCTGCTGCTATATAAATCAGAACTGTAAGCCAAAGGCTAACTCATACCCCCGCTGCTATATAAATCAGAACTGCAAGCTAAAGGTTTACTTAGGTAAGGCATTGCAAAGCAATCCATAGTCTCCCACCGGTAATGATTTCTTTATTGACTGAGATGTACACTTATTTAAGTATACTGTTCACTGACATACTTCCTTCACTCCCTCCCCATGCCAAAAAATACTTACATACCAAATCTTGTTAGCCCAGATGAACCAGTTGTGCTAAAATTGTCCTATTAGTTAAGGAAAAGATGTCAGGATAAAGATTTTTAACAAAGAGCCATTACTCCTTAAAAAGGGTCGAAATGAAAAAAATACTAGCCTGATGCAAGACATCAGGAGGTAATTACAATATCTGTAAAGTTTCATTGAAATCTGCCTAGTAGTTTATGAGGTAGACAAAGGTTTATTCAACAAAGGACCATTACTCCTTTTAAAAAGGGCTGGAAGGAAAAAGTACTACTTGAATGCACAACATCAGGGGGCAGTTACCATATCTGTAAAAATTGTTGAAATTGGCCCGTAGATTAGGAAAAGTTGTCAGGACAAGACTTTTTCAATAAAGGGCCATAACCCCATAAAAACATGTTGGAAAAATATACCTGGATGCACAACATAAGGGGATAGTTATCATATCTTAAAACTTTTGTTGAAATTGGTCATATAGTCTTTGAGGAGGTTTTTTTCCAACAAAGGGCCATTACTCCAAAAAAAAGGGACAGATTGAAAAAACAAGAGGCCCAATGGGCCTGCATCGTTCACCTGGTATTAATCTCACACTTGTAATCTTAAAAGTTGACTAAAATACAGCTACAGGCAGAATATCAGTGTGACCTTGAATGTCAAACAATGACATTAGGTTGAAAGAGGGTCAAGGTCATTCATTTGAACAAATTTGGTAGCCCTGATTGCTACAGGCCAAATATCAGTACCCTAGGCATTTTGGTTATTGAGAAGAAGTTGTTTGAAGATTTTAAGACATTTGACACCTGTGACCTTGAAAGTTGGTCAAGGTCATTCATCTGAACAAACTTGGTAGCCCTTCATACTAGCATGCTACTGGCCAAATATCATCACCCTGGGCATTGTGGTTATTCAGAAGAAGTTGTTTAAAGGTTTTAAACATATTCGACCCCTGTGACCTTGAAAATGGATGAAGGTCATTTATTTGAACAAACTTGGTAGCCCTTCATCCCAGCATGCTACTGGCCAAATATCATCACCTTATAGGCCTCTTGGTTATTCAGAAGAAGTAGTTTAAATGTTTTGAACATATTTGACCCCTGTGACCTTGAATATAAGTCAAGGTCATTTATTTGAACAAACTTGGTAGCCCTTCATCCCAGCATGCTACTGGCCAAATATCATCACCCTAGGCCTATCGGTTATTCAGAAAAAGTTGTTGAAAGGTTTTAAACATATTTGACCCCTGTGACCTTGAATATAACCAAGGTCATTTATTTGAACAAACCCGGTAGCCCTATATCCCAGCATGTTACTGGCCAAATTTAGGCACCCTAGGCCTCTTGGTTATTCAGAAGAAGTTGTTTAAAGGTTTTAAACATATTTGACCCCTGTGACCTTGAATATAAATCAAGGTCATTTATTTAAACAAACTTTGTAACCCTTTATCCCAGCATGTTACTGGCCGAATTTAAGCACCCTAGGCTTATTGGTTATTCAGAAGAAGTTGTTTAAATGTTTTAAACATATTTGACCCCTGTGACCTAGATATAAGTCAAGGTCATGTATTTGAACAAAGTTGGTAGCCCTTCATCCCAGCATGAAACAGGCCAAATATCATCACCCCAGGCCTCTTGCTTATTCAGAAGAAGCTGTTTAACGAATTTGCCATATTTGACCCCTGTGACCTTGAAAATGGATGAAGGTCATTTATTTGAACAAACTTGGTAGCCCTTCATCCCAGCATGCTTCTGGCCAAATATCATCACCCTAGGCCTATCGGTTATTCAGAAGAAGTTGTTGAAAGGTTTTAAATATATTTGACCTCTGTGACCTTGAATATAAGTCCAGGTCATTTATTTGAACAAACATGGTAGCGCTTCATCCCAACATGCTTCTGGCCAAATAACATCACCCTAGGCCTTTTGGTTACTGAGAAGAAGTTGTTTAAAGTAAAATGTTGACGATGGAAGGACGACGGACGCCGCACCATGCCATAAGCTCACTTGGCCCTTTGGGCCAGGTGAGCTAAAATCCACCACGATGCACAACATCAGGTGGTAGTTATCATATGTGAATACTTTCTTTGAAATTTGACCATTACTTTAGAAGGAGTTGTCAAGACAATTTTTTGTAAAATGTTAGCCATTTTTTACCTACCTTCCGATCGATGAGAACCAGTTAACCAGCTGTGAAATGACCACTCTGTCATCAACCTGCAACAGTTTGATTGACAATGATATCTACTGATACGAAAGTTTTTGAAATGTAAATATTTGAAAATTATATATTTGAACATTAGCTGGTTAATCAGTAACAAAAGTTACAAGCTACCTAAACTGTCATATGTTCAACTTCTCTCCAAAGAGTTCTACACTGTAAAGTAACTAGCGTAAACTATCCTTGATGATTGAAATGTCCATCAGGTTGATTGAAAATACATTGAAAAGTACACAGGAATACATAAATAGATAACACTGTCAGACAATTAAGGATCCCTGTCCCACTGCACTGTAGTTTTCACTGTACACAGTAATTTTCATACTCAGAACACTGTTTTGGATAATATCTAGTTTATATCATCTTTATTACTTCTCAGAAAAGGCCAAGAAAGTTTTTTTCCAGAAAAGATCTATCAAAACTATCATAAAGTCATGCAGGAAAATAGTTTCCAACACTTAAACAGTTTTGGGCAGTGGTACGGGGTCCCTTAAAATCTGAAGCAATGATAAGATATGGTGTTAATGATNAAGATATGGTGTTAACGACAAGATATGGTGTTAATGATAAGATATGGTGTTAACGACAAGATANAATGATAAGATATGGTGTTAATGATAAGATATGGTGTTAATGATAAGATATGGTGTTAATGATAAGATATGGTGTTAACGACAAGATGTGGTGTTATAACCATAGACGTGATGTATAAGACACACAACCATCGATCAGTGTATATACTTACATTGCTATTTCACCAAACATCCAAAGAACCACACCTAATAATCTTTTGAATGGCTGTAAATAAAATAAACCCAGGTTATTTCTCAACAAAATTAATATCAAACTTCTTTTTTCATTGATCAGTATTTTGCAATTCAAACAAGAATCATCAATTGTGTGATTCAAGTTACAAAAGTCTGTTGTTCACATATCGCAAACCATAAACAGATTTAACCCTTTAGCCCCTAAGTAACTTTGGTAGAATCTACCATGCATTGATATGGAGGGGTCCATTATGGTCTACAGTGGTGAAAGGGTTAACTGTAGTAGTAGGGCCTACCTCTGCCGATAATCAATTCATATTAGTCTGTCAGATTGTACTATTAGTCTGTCAGATTGTACTATTCACAAGTGAGTATGTGTCCTGCATCATAATCTTCATNCGGCTTGCGTGCGGTTAGCGGTAGTCTAGCGTCTAGAAAGCGATCGTTCACCGTTCGAGCACTGTTCGTATGTTTCGTCTGTTTCGTTCGTATCAGCTAAATCGTTCCGTTCGGTTATTTCGACCGTCCCTATCGTCCAATTATTTCATTGGGTCGTTAGTTCGGCTCNATTTATTCGTGTACAACGACAATTTTCATGCAACCTTGAAATGTAAAAAGCCGCCATTTTGACTCCTGTGCAAAAGTCTGTGATGTCATGTACTTGTCCTAGGCGTGACATCATTATTGAAACAATTGAAACTTACAAGCAATCACAGGGCTGATAGGTCATATTACATGGGTTAATACGCAAAAATGTTTTATATTTCCATATATTTTATTTGGACTTTAAATCTAGATAAATTGTTAATGATTGTAGGGCTTTTGGACTTTGGACTAGAGTTATTTTTAATGATCGCTGCTTATCAATAGTTGTTAACCTGACATGAAATGTTCCCTTTAAGGGGCTATAAACTGAATCCTTTGTACTTACATTGATGAGATGTTCAGCCGAGCTTTCATCCTCCCCACTGTCACTCGACTCACACATACCCTGATAGTCCTTGAAGTTTATTCTTGTAACGAAAAGCAAACAAGAGCCTCAATTGGTGAACACATTACTTATTATATGCTATTTCAATGCTGTTGACAAACACAACTCACATTTTTTACTTTCCATGAAGGTCAAGGTCAAACAAACTTGAATAAACTTCATAGCAAGCAACATGCAATACATTGTACTAAAGGTTAAATATCATTACTGTACTATTTGAAGATTTGAACTTTAATTTCACTCATGCAGCCTTCAAAGATGGCCAAAGTGGTTTATTTATCTGTCAAAAATAGTTTGTAATCTCAGTAAGCTTCTTTTGTTCATTTTTAAGGTTAAATCAATTTCACCTTGTCACTTTAACTGAGGTCTAACAATACTTGAGACCAAATTTAGTCATTTCCCTCTCTACCACTGTGGAGAAGTAGCATTTTAACGGAAAACACAATGGACAAACGACAAGGCCAAATGATCTTAAGATATAACTTGGAGTTACAATACACGTGTATATATTCTAGGACAAAAAATGTATGTTTCACATTTGGTACTTACTCTTCAAATAAATGCCTGTTTATCATTTCCCTCATCATAGTCCCTCCATCAGCATCACCAAAGAAACCACCAATCTGGTACAAAGGTAAAATTTATTTTTGGTCTAATTTGATATTTATAGCAACCATTCATTTTCATTAACAAAGATTTTGAAGCTGAAGATTAAGAAAGTTTGACTTATTATCCAATTTTGTGAAATACACTTTAATCCATGGTGTTTACCACTGTAACAGAGTGCTGTAATGATTACATTCCGGTTAACTGCTGTAATTAATCTTGTATTCCAATGTGACTAGTCGTTTTTACTACAGTAATTGTCTTGTTATTGCTGTAATGAGTCTTGTTTACTGCTATAACTGGTCTTGTTACTACAGTAATTGTCTTGTTATTGCTGTAATTATTCTTGTTTACTGCTATAAGTAGTCTTGTTTACTACCTAATAAGTCTTGTTTACTGTTGTAATTAGTCTTGTTACTTCTGTAATTATTCTTGTTTACTGCTGTAATTAGTCTTGTTTATTGTTGTAATTAGTCTTGTTTACTGCTGTAATAAGTCTTGTTATTTCTGTAATTATTCTTGTTTACTGCTGTAATTAGTCTTGTTACTACTGTAATTAATCTTGTTTATTTCTGTAATAAGTCTTGTTTACTGTTGTAATTAGTCTTGTTACTTCTGTAATTATTCTTGTTTACTGCTGTAATAAGTCTTGTTTACTGCTGTAATTAGTCTTGTTTATTGTTGTAATTAGTCTTGTTGCTACTGTAATTAGTCTTGTTTACTGCTGTAATAAGTCTTGTTATTTCTGTAATTATTCTTGTTTACTGCTGTAATTAGTCTTGTTACTACTGTAATTAATCTTGTTTATTTCTGTAATAAGTCTTGTTTACTGTTGTAATTAGTCTTGTTACTTCTGTAATTATTCTTGTTTACTGCTGTAATAAGTCTTGTTTACTGCTGTAATTAGTCTTGTTTATTGTTGTAATTAGTCTTGTTACTACTGTAATTAGTCTTGTTTACTACCTAATAAGTCTTGTTTACTGTTGTAATTTGTCTTGTTACTTCTGTAATTATTCTTGTTTACTGCTGTAATTAGTCTTGTTACTACTGTAATTAATCTTTTTTTTTTTCTGTAATAAGTCTTGTTTACTGTTGTAATTAGTCTTCTTACTTCTGTAATTATTCTTGTATACTGCTGTAATAAGTCTTGTTTACTGCTATAACTAGTCTTGTTTACTGCTATAACTAGTCTTGCTTACTGCTGTAATTAGTCTTGTTACTACTGTAATTAATCTTGTTTACTTCTGTAAGTAGTCTTGTTTACTAACGAAGTTAGTCTTGCTTACTGCTATTATGAGTCTTGTTACTGCTGTAATTAGAAGTTTTAAATAACTATAAAAAAAACAATAAATAATATCATAATCTATCACTTACCTCGTTTGGATCTTTGCTCATCATCACATAACCATTGTTATCAAGTAAGTAGCAATTCACACGCTGTAACAAAACAAGAGTCATAATAGGCATGTATGGCTCCCCTGCTTTTAATCTCACACCTATAACCTTTAATGTGCACATCAGGTGAATACATAGAAATAGGCAAAATAAAGCTACAGGCAAAACATCAACACCCTGTGTCTTTTAGATACTTAGAAGAATTTATTTTTTGAATATCTTGTAAACATTTGAACCATGTGACCTTGAAAGTTTTGAGAGGAAGTTTTTCAAATATCTTAACATTTTTGAGGTCACTCGTTTGTACAAATTTGGTAGCCCTTCATCAAAGCACACAAATGGCCTAGTATCAGCCTGGGCAGTTTTGGTTATTTAGTGGCCTAGTATCAGCCTGGGCTGCAGTTTTGGTTACTTAGTGGCCTAGTATCAGCCTGGGCTGCAGTGTTGGTTACTTAGTGGCCTAGTATCAGCCTGGGCTGCGGTTTTGGTTACTTAGTGGCCTAGTATCAGCCTGGGCTGCAGTGTTGGTTACTTAGTGGCCTAGTATCAGCCTGGGCTGCGGTTTTGGTTACTTAGTGGCCTAGTATCAGCCTGGGCTGCGGTTTTGGTTACTTAGTGGCCTAGTATCAGCCTGGGGTGCAGTTTTGGTTACTTAGTGGCCTAGTATCAGCCTGGGGTGCAGTTTTGGTTACTTAGTGGCCTAGTATCAGCCTGGGCTGCGGTTTTGGTTACTTAGTGGCCTAGTATCAGCCTGGGCTGCAGTTGTGGAGATTAAGTGGCCTAGTATCTGCCTGGGCAGTTATGGTTATTAAGTGGCCTAGTATCAGCCTGGGCTGCAGTTTTGGTTACTGAGTGGCCTAGTATCAGCCTGGGCTGCAGTTGTGGAGATTAAGTGGCCTAGTATCTGCCTGGGCAGTTATGGTTATTAAGTGGCCTAGTATCAGCCTGGGCTGCAGTTTTGGTTACTTAGTAGCCTAGTATCAGCCTGGGCTGCAGTTTTGGTTACTTAGTGGCCTAGTAGCAGCCTGGGCTGCAGTTTTGGTTATTTAGTGGCCTAGTATCAGCCTGGGCTGCAGTTGTTGTGATTAAGTGGCCTAGTATCTGCCTGGGCAGTTATGGTTATTAAGTGGCCTAGTATCAGCCTGGGCAGTTTTGGTTATTAAGTGGCTTAGTATCAGCCTGGGCTGTAGTTTTGGTTATTAAAAGTGGCCTAGTATCAGCCTGGGCAGTTTTGGTTATTAAGTGACCTAGTATCAGCCTGGGCTGTAGTTTTGGTTATTAAGTGACCTAGTATCAGCCTGGGCAGTTTTGGTTATTAAGTGACCTAGTATCAGCCTGGGCTGTAGTTTTGGTTATAAAGTGGCCTAGTATCAGCCTGGGCTGTAGTTTTGGTTATTTAGTGGCCTAGTATCAGCCTGGGCTGCAGTTTTGGTGATTAAGTGGCCTAGTATCAGCCTGGGCTGTAGTTTTGGTTATTAAGTGACCTAGTATCAGCCTGGGCTGTAGTTTTGGTTATTAAGTGACCTAGTATCAGCCTGGGCTGTAGTTTTGGTTATTTAGTGGCCTAGTATCAGCCTGGGCTGCAGTTGTTGTGATTAAGTGGCCTAGTATCTGCCTGGGCAGTTATGGTTATTAAGTGGCCTAGTGAACCCTGTGACCTTTAAAGTTTTGAGAGGAAGTTTTTCAAATATCTTAACATTTTTGAGGTCACTCGTTTGTACAAATTTGGTAGCCCTTCATCAAAGCACACAAATGGCCTAGTATCAGCCTGGGCAGTTTTGGTTATAAAGTGGCCTAGTATCAGCCTGGGCTGTAGGTTTGGTTATTAAGTGGCCTAGTATCAGCCTGGGGTGCAGTTTTGGTTACTTAGTGGCCTAGTATCAGCCTGGGCTGCAGTTGTGGTGATTAAGTGGCCTAGTATCTGCCTGGGCAGTTATGGTTATTAAGTGGCCTAGTATCAGCCTGGGCAGTTTTGGTTATTAAGTGGACTAGTATCAGCCTGGGGTGCAGTTTTGGTTATTAAGTGACCTAGTATCAGCCTGGGCTGCGGTTTTGGTTATTAAGTGGCCTAGTATCAGCCTGGGGTGCAGTTTTGGTTATTAAGTGGCCTAGTATCAGCCTGAGTGCAGTTTTGGTTATTAAGTGGCCTAGTATCAGCCTGGGCTGCAGTTTCGGTGATTAAGTGGCCTAGTATCAGCCTGGGCTGTAGTTTTGGTTATTAAGTGGCCTAGTATCAGCCTGAGTGCAGTTTTGGTTAAGTATCAGCCTGGGCAGTTTTGGTTATAAAGTGGCCTAGTATCAGCCTGGGCTGCAGTTTCGGTGATTAGGTGGCCTAGTATCAGCCTGGGCTGTAGTTTTGGTTATTAAGTGGCCTAGTATCAACCTGGGCTGCTGTTTTGGTTATTAAGTGGCCTAGTATCAGCCTGGGCTGTAGTTCTGGTTATTAAGTGACCTAGTATCAGCCTGGGCTGCAGTTTTGGTTATTATTAAGTGGCCTAGTATCAGCCTGGGCTGTTTTGGTTATTAAGTGGCCTAGTATCAGCCTGAGTGCAGTTTTGGTTATTAAGTGGCCTAGTATCTGCCTGGGCTGCAGTTTCGGTGATTAAGTGGCCTAGTATCAGCCTGGGCTGTAGTTCTGGTTATTAAGTGACCTAGTATCAGCCTGGGCTGCAGTTTTGGTTATTAAGTGGCCCAGTATCAGCCTGGGCTGCAGTTTTGGTTATTAAGTGGCCCAGTATCAGCCTGGGCTGCAGTTTTGGTTATTAAGTGGCCCAGTATCAGCCTGGGCTGCAGTTTTGGTTATTAAGTGGCCCAGTATCAGCCTGGGCTGCAGTTTTGGTTATTAAGTGGCCTAGTATCTGCCTGGGCTGTAGTTTTGGTTATTAAGTGGCCTAGTATCAACCTGGGCTGCTGTTTTGGTTATTAAGTGGCCTAGTATCAGCCTGAGAGCAGGTTTGGTTATTAAGTGGCCTAGTATCAGCCTGGGCTGTAGTTCTGGTTATTAAGTGACCTAGTATCAGCCTGGGCTGCAGTTTTGGTTATTAAGTGGCCCAGTATCAGCCTGGGCTGCAGTTTTGGTTATTAAGTGGCCCAGTATCAGCCTGGGCTGCAGTTTTGGTTATTAAGTGGCCCAGTATCAGCCTGGGCTGCAGTTTTGGTTATTAAGTGGCCTAGTATCTGCCTGGGCTGTAGTTTTGGTTATTAAGTGGCCTAGTATCTGCCTGGGCTGTAGTTTTGGTTATTTAGTGGCCTAGTATCAGCCTGGACAGTTTTGGTTATCAAGTGGCTTAGTATCAGCCTGGGCTGCAGTTTTGGTTATTAAGTGGCCCAGTATCAGCCTGGGCTGCAGTTTTGGTTATTAAGTGGCCCAGTATCAGCCTGGGCTGCAGTTTTGGTTATTAAGTGGCCCAGTATCAGCCTGGGCTGCAGTTTTGGTTATTAAGTGGCCCAGTATCAGCCTGGGCTGCAGTTTTGGTTATTAAGTGGCCCAGTATCAGCCTGGGCTGCAGTTTTGGTTATTAAGTGGCCTAGTATCTGCCTGGGCTGCAGTTTTGGTTATTAAGTGGCTTAGTATCAGCCTGGACAGTTATGGTTATTAAGTGGCCTAGTATCAGCCTGGACAGTTTGGGTTATTAAGTGGCCTAGAACCAGCCTGTGCTGCAGTATTGGTTATTAAGTGGCCTAGTATCAGCCTGGACAGTTTTGGTTATCAAGTGGCTTAGTATCAGCCTGGGCTGCAGTTTTGGTTATTAAGTGGCCTAGTATCAGCCTGGGCTGCAGTTTTGGTTATTTAGTGGCCTAGTATCAGCCTGGACAGTTTTGGTTATTAAGTGGCCTAGTATCAGCCTGGGCAGTTTTGGTTATTAGGTGGCCTAGTATCTGTCTGGAGTGCAGTTTTGTTTATCAAGTAGAGTTGCTTAAATATTTCAACAAATTTAACTGCTGTAACCTTAAATAATAATAATAATTGGAGGTTCTTATATATCATTTTTATCACAACCTTGTTGGTAGGTTGTCTCAAGGTGGTTCACAAATTATCATCCGTGGTTATAGGGCCTTTGCAACCAGCCAATATCTTTCTCACCCTCCTGGGGAGCATATATAGCCAGTGCTGCCATTTCGGCGCTCACAGCTAGCATTCAACAGTTTTAGCAGTACCCAACCAGGTACTCATTTACAGCTGAGTAGACTGGAACAAGTGGAGTAAAGTATCTTGTTCAAAGATACAACACAGTGCCTTGACGTGACTTGAACCTGCATCCCTTCGGTCACGAGCTCGGCATCCTTCCAATAGAATTCCGTACCACTTAAGGAATTAATTAAGATTATTAATTTTAACAAAGGTAGCCCTTCATCCCAGCATTCTACTAGTCAGATACCCTAACATAAGTATTGTCCACACACCTCAAATATTCATTTTTAAAGTAGATCGCTTTTGATCGCTTTTGCTTTTTCTAGTTCTATGGTAACACTTAATCACATTGCCAGCGGCTTCACCAGATAGCCCACAGAGGGCATTATTCATTGTGAAAAAATGGGCGATATACAAGAAATTATAGTGCATCAAGACATTATGCTGTACAGGTAACACAGACTGACTGTAGGATTTACTTACATTATCTCGACACGTTAATTCACAGTTGGTAAAGTTTCCACATTTCTGGATTATATCTCCAATTTTCTTCTGAATTTCCTGGTACTTTATCTGAAGTCCAAGGACCATTGGGAAAAAGTCTTTGGTCGGCCCTACTTGGGCGTTGTTTAATTCCAGTGGTATACTGATTGTAACGACGTTGTTCTCGTCCCCTGTGTACGCTGTGGACACCAAGACAAATTGAAGATTCAACAAACTTTGTATCATACATGAAGATTCAATCATAATTAACTATTGTATTTTTAAGATAATTTCAGGAAATATGTAAATTCCTGTGTATTACTACGATCACTTAAGATGTATCTCTAAAAAAAATCTTCAGGTTGGTAAGTATGGATTATGAATTCTTTTTACACAACCAATACAATTTTCTATGTGACGTTTTGATGGCTTGTACGATATGTACACTGTCACCTTCATCAAAAAAATGACCAGTGAAGCGAATGCACACAAGGGTGTAAAATGGGTACGAGTTGTCCACAAAATCGATGTCAATTTCGGCTATGCTGTAACAGTCAAAACAAATCTTATTGGTTGTGTAAAAAGAACTTCTCATAAACACTTATGATGTATTCTTTGTAACTCATCAGTACTGAGTTTTAAAGGCATGAATTCAATTAATACATATGGTTCAACACTGGTTGTCAGATATACACCTGGGTATTATTTAAAATATTTCGTCTCATCCATATGTAACAGCTAGGTCACTATTTTAAACAAGTTAAACACTAGGTATAAAGCTGTTAGATCATTGCACTAACCTTCACCAATTGGCATGGAGAATGTGAAGTTGTAGCCATCTTGTATTCGCCCCTCCACTGCACGTTTGTAGTACATACTGTCAACTGTCCGTTCATTCAAGTTGATGAACTCTCTAATGAGGAGGTACAGAAGGTGGATCAGGCGAAGGAGACAAATTATTTGTATGGTTACATCATCACAATTCAACAAAGCAGAATTTAATATAGTATTTTGCATCAAAAATGTCTGGTAAAAATATAGTTAGCTTTTGAGTGAAAATAACTGCATGACATGTGTGATTATGAGCCGCCTCAATGTAAAATGCATTATATATACTTGACATAATGTCAATCTGAGTGTAAAACTGGATGACAAAATTTACACCACATCTTTAATTTTGTTAGTCATACGGTAAGCTCTAGTGTAAAACTGTACTTGAAAGTGGTAGTCCTGAGTTTATTAATTATATGCTTGAATTTTGGCTATTATTAAAAAAAATCCCAGATGGTTTATAATATAGTGGTCATGCACAGATAACCTGATTCCTCATGGCCCAACGATCACAACTTCAACAAACGTTCAAGTTCATGAGTAGCCAAATTATGAAATTCTCTTATAACCTTTTCACCACTGTAGACCATAATGGACTCATCCAGATCAATGCTTGGTAGAGTCTACTTAAGTTACATAGGGAGGGAAGGGTAGAATTGGGTATAAATACAGTAGCTGCCCCTAACAGTTGTTACTTACTGAGTGGTTGGGAAGAGATCTGTGTTGAGAAATCGTGTGAGGCCACTTTTGGTGCCCAGGAATATCAACGCAATTCCATATCTGTTGAACAGAAAAATTATAGACATTATTGACATTATTGACACATATCCAGCTGAAATATTCATGGCATACTTCACCTTCACATACCAATTAACAAACAAATCTTAATGCAAAGAAACCAATCAACAGACACAACTTGAGCAATCTCTTAAAAAAGATATTCACTACCTTAATCCCTCAGCTAACAGGGTTGCACAATAAAACAATCTTTTGTAAATGCTAATTTTGATATGATATATTGAGATAAAACATGACAATGTACACTAGAAAACTATCACATTGCCATGGGCCAGCTCTGATAAAGTAAATACAGTTACACTATAAAAGTATCACATTGCCATTGGTCAGCTCTGATCAGGCAAATACAGTTACACTAGAAAAGTATCGCATTGCCATCGGCCAGCTCTGATCAGGTAAATAGAGTTACACTAGAACACTATCACATTGCCATTGACCCGCTCTGATCAGGTAAATACAGTGACACTAGAAAAGTATCACATTGACATTGGCCAGCTCTGATTAGGTAAATACAGTTACACTAGAACACTATCACATTGCCATTGGTCAGCTCTGATCAGGCAAATACAATTACACTAGAAAAGTATCGCACTGCCATTGGCCAGCTCTGATCAGATGAATACAGTTACACTAGAACACTACTACATTGCCATTGACCAGCTCTGATCAGGTAAATAGAGTTACACTAGAACACTATCACATTGCCATTGACCAGCTCTGATCAGGGAAATACAGTTACACTAGAAAAGTATCGCATTGCCATCGGCCAGCTCTGATCAGGTAAATACGGTTACACTAGAAAAGTATCACGTTGCCTTTGGCCAGCTCTGATCAGGTAATTTCAGTTACACTAGAAAAGTATCATATTGCCATTGGCCAGCTCTGATTAGGTAAATACAGTTACACTAGAACACTATCACATTGCAATTGACCAGCTCTGATCAGGTAAATACATTTACCCTAGAAAACTATCACATTGCCATGGGCCAGCTCTGATAAAGTAAATACAGTTACACTATAAAAGTATCACATTGCCATTGGTGAGCTCTGATCAGGCAAATACAATTACACTAGAAAAGTATCGCATTGCAATTGGCCAGCTCTGATCAGGTAATTTCAGTTACACTAGAAAAGTATCGCATTGCAATTGGCCAGCTCTGATCAGGTAAATAGAGTTACACTAGAACACTATCACATTGCCATTGACCAGCTCTGATCAGGGAAATACAGTTACACTAGAAAAGTATCGCATTGCCATCGGCCAGCTCTGATCAGGTAAATACAGCTACACTAGAAAACTATCACATTGCCATTAGCCAGCTCTGATCAGGTAAATACGGTTACACTAGAAAAGTATCACGTTGCCTTTGGCCAGCTCTGATCAGGTAATTTCAGTTACACTAGAAAAGTATCATATTGCCATTGGCCAGCTCTGATTAGGTAAATACAGTTACACTAGAACACTATCACATTGCCATTGACCCGCTCTGATCAGGTAAATACAGTAACACTAGAAAACTATCACATTGCCATTGGTCAGCTCTGATCAGGTAAATACATTTACCCTAGAAAACTATCACATTGCCATGGGCCAGCTCTGATAAAGTAAATACAGTTACACTATAAAAGTATCACATTGCCATTGGTCAGCTCTGATCAAGCAAATACAGTTACACTAGAAAAGTATCACATTGCCATTGGCCAGCTCCCATGTCAATAAAAGTGCACCTAGATACCAGTACTATCACGCTGTCAGCTCTCAGGTACAAACAAAGTACACTAGAATATCAAATTGACAATGCTATAAAGGTAAAATGTTTAACTTGAAAACTATGACACTGAAAAAGTTCGGGTAAAATAGTAAATGAATGTATATCAGTATTACATTGATAATGTTTGGAGATTGATTGCACATGAATATGACAGTTTTAAGAAAAATAACACATACATTTTTACTCAAATCACAGGTAATATTAGAAAGGTAATCACTGACTAGTCTTTAAACCTCATTTAAATATGTATATACATGTATCTGTCCCAGCATGAATATATTTTGTTTGCGTAAGTTTCATGACATTAGACTTTGATGTTGACAAAACTTGTACAGTGTAATGAATATTCATTTGTTAATTTTTTATTTCCTAGACAAATTAATTTGTCTTACAATCTAAATGAGATGTGCTCTGTTTTTTTGAGGCTGAATCTAAACAAATGAAATCTAGGAGTTAATTTGTGCAGACGGTTTCACATGTTTTACTGCTGCACATCCATAGAAACCTTGTGGCCATGTACGTACTTATGCTACTATACTGTTGACACATTTATTTTTGTGAGAGATTAAGTCTCTCGTAATTCTTGGGGAGACTAGCTAATAAATTGAAACGTTTCCGTTTTCGCGAAAATTACTTAATCTATCCAACCACCTGACTGCTTCTACCAACTTAGTCCCAAAGTGTTTTTATCAATAATCCACTTATAAAGCGTATTTTCTAATTTGAGTTTTTTTTATGTAAAACCAATTTGCGTGATGTATTTTCAATACCTACACCCATCTTTGTAGCTCAAAAACAAAGGATTAAAAAAATCCTGCATTCCCTATCCTGCGTGACCTATATTGACAATAGAGACACGAGTGATCTCCCTTCTGTTTCCTTTTATAAAGCCGCCTTACTTTGGGGTCATGTATATACATAAAATGTTTTAATGCACACTCAATTATCGTTTTCTGGTATTGTTACATGTTTAATGCTCCTTAGTGAGTCTTACTGAGAATAAGTCCTACCCGTAATTGCAGTTACAGTTATTGACTTAAGGACAGCGAGTCTATCGGTGATAATCACACTGTGCTGTCGGGGTGACACAAAATGAGTGCCCGGTTCATCTAACAGACTAGACATGTATCCATGTAACATCATAGATTTTGAGATGCAAAACAAATTGTTAAAATAAAAAGATTTTATCAAGTCTAGAGTACCACAAGCAGACAAAGAGTAAGGCATGCTGCAAACAAGATTTTCATCCACATTCAAAGGAAATCAACCAGAAAAATTCTTATAAATAGAATGTCTAAAGTAAAATTCTTATATGCATAACAAAAAACCCATTTTTAATTCAAATTTGAATTAAAAGGTCTCAAAAAATAAATTAAACTAAAACAATGAAACTTTAATACAGGCATTTTTATAGGACTAATTTAGTACCGACGTCTTTACTAAATAATTCCCTAGATCATGCAACATTTCCACTTTCAGCAATAATCCCACCAGTGTACTGAAAATCAACCCTTTTATATTGCTAATTAGGTAAACTTCCTTGTACTGACTTGGTAGTCATTATCATCGACCATAACAGTCATAACTTGATAATATATATATATGTATATTTGTTCAAAGTATAATTTGTCCAAGATTATTTTTGGGTGATATCCTTTGATCGGATAGATATTTTTATTTGAGGAAGCAAAGGTCAACAGAACATGGCCTTCAAGAAAACATGGCCTTTAAGAAAAATTGCAGGAAAGACAAGTCTTTGAGGTTTTTAGTAATAGGCAGAAGTTTACATAACAGAACAAAACAGAAACTAAGAAGTGATTAGGTCACATTGACTCTACCCAAACTACACACCTGAAAATCTACAGGTAACAATACACAATGCCTCATATTTTCTGATAATAACACTACTTTCTGATATTATATGAATAAAGCAAAATTGGTAAAAGGTTTTATTCTCATTAATTTCTTGATATTTTTGTTCAGCATATAAAATGAGAAAACACATACAATTACCTCCCCTATCCAGATCAAATGCCTAGCCATTTGTAGTAACTCATTCACCCCTGAAGACAAATTTGAACTCTTCCTATTCAAAGGTTGGAATAGTTCAGTATGAAATTTCAAGGGTGAATGAGTTAACAGTGTAACACAAACTTTCCTAAAAATTGTAATAGGGACTGAAATGTAAAGTTATTACTGATTTGTTTTAATTTTCACGAAAACTTCTAAGTTCCATAAATGCAAGAATATCTAACCCTCATATAGATATGCTTTCTTGTGTCCCTAATTTTGTTCTTGTTCATTTTTCAATAGTCATTAATTCGCGAAAAACAAAGAAATTTTTAACATTACAAATTATTAATAAAACACAGAGATGGAATTCTAGAACTAGAACGTAAACACTTCACTTAGAACTTCTAACATATACCTTACCTGCATGTTGCAGAGAATTCAACCAAATTTTATATACAACACGAACCAAACCAGTTAGTTATCTAACAGTTAGTAGCTAAGTCTACGACCAGTGTTGACAGAAATTTTTTACGATTATTTTTTCAAATTATTGGTCCTGAATATTTTAGAATAACAATTTTTTCACAAAAAAATAAAAATATATCTCTGTTATTTAGACAAGATTTCTGTAAACACTGTTTTGATGTTACCATAGATCCCAAACAAACAATAGAGGTCAGAGGTCAGAAAGGAAGAGAGAGAGTCTCAGACCGATGATGCAAAGTTGTACGTACTTATTTCCGAAAAGCTGGACAGAGAAATTGGATGCATAGTAGCTGAAAGGGGAAAAACACAACACAGAAGATAAGACAACAATTCTGTGGTCGTGAAGAATGTGGAATGTGTGATAGACATTCATGTAACATCAGTGTTTCAAAAAGAAATGTGAAATATATTCCGGCTATCCTTAAAATGCGTAAGCACCACCAGAATGTGACGGACAGGTGATCATACAATGTCAATTGTAAGAAATCATTACATGTATGTACAAGTTTGACAATCTGTTTAATCCATACAATTTGTGCCATAAAAGTTGTCCAAGTTGTTTTTCTACTGGAACTGACTGACACAACAAGAGGCCCAATGGGCCTGCATAGCTCACCTGTTATTAATCTAACACTTGTAATCTTAAGATTTCATAAGAACCTATTACAAGATTTAAACATATGACGCCTCTGACCTTGATTGTTGAACAAGGACATTAGGTTGAAAGTGGATCAAGGTCATTCATTTGAACTAACATGGTAGTCCTTCATCCCAGCATGCTACAGGCCCAATTTCAGTACCCTGGGCCTTTTGCTTATTGAAAAGAAGTCGCTTGAAGATTTTAAGACATTTGACCCTGTGACCTTGAAAGTTGGTCAAGGTCATTCA